TGCATGTTGATAACAGAAAATGACAATCTGTTGATTAAATACACTGCAGTAGTGAATGCTACAACCCATAGATGCTTTGGTACTCCATTATTTATCATCAAAGTCAAAGCCATTTCAACTATAACTATATGAAAAAATTACAAAAATCTCTACTCTCTCCTATTCTCGGATACATTACTCTACGCGATGTATGGATCATATACATCACTTTATAAGCACTTTACACGATGTATCGGTCTGATACATCACGTATGTATCCGAAACAGAGACGTGATGTATCGATCAGGACGTTGAGGGATGTATCCGAAACCGGGACGCGATGTATCGAGACATTTTGGGATGTATTCGGATTCCATCAAATTTAAGGGATTTTTATAATTTGTAATTTGAAAAAGAAAAGAAAAAAATAAATAAATAAATAAATAAATAATAATAAAAAAAAAAATATATATATATATATATAACTTCATATAAACTTCTTTTTTTTATTTTAATGATAGTTTTTAAAAAATAATAATTTTGTAAAGTTATAACTAAGACATATTTAAAACCACAATTGGGATATCGAATTTTGAATAAAGAGAACTTGCAAAGGACAACAAATTAATAGTAATGCTTATATGAACAAAAATGCGTCATAAGATCATGATGTTTTCAAGCACTATACGTCTTTCACCCCCATTTAACAGAGATTATTTCATTTAATATCGAAAAGCTGATTAATAACAAATAAAAACATCCTTATCACACGTTAATTAAACAGATTTGACAAAAGAATAAAAGAAAATAAGGTATGTGTCCATTAATTTCATGTTTCAACAAGATTATTGATCAGATCATTTAATTTGGATTATGCATTTCTTTATACGTCAAATCTCTTGTATCAGCAACTATGTCACTCCATGACGCAGAAGACAATATATATAAATAATTATATATCCTCCATGATATTCTTTATAGGGAGAACGAATGTGAGTAATTGGCTGATTTATGCAAAAAGTGTAAATGAAAAGTTTCGATTAAAATAAGTTATTTTTTTAATTTCAATTTATATGATACACGTTTTCTTTTTATTTCGTACCAAAAGAATGTCGATAGCCCCTGCCCCTCACTGTGGGGACTTAAATCTGGAAATTGTGTACAAAGAAAAGTTTTTCTGATAATTTAATTAATTTGTCCCTATTTTAGGAAGTTGGATTAATAGTACTTAGGAACTTACCCTCTCAGATAATATTAGATTCGTGTTAAATATTTTATTAATGTATTTATCAACCTTAATAAGTCATTAAACTACCGTATAACACTTGTAATAATTTACAAGATATATATCTTAGTCTAACGTTTATTCGTAAGATTTTTAATTTATTCAAAATTGATCACTACTAGACTTACAAAGATTAATAAGTTGTAAGGAAAAAGAAGAAGAAAAGAGGGTCATTTATTGTTAGTAAATCGTTGTAAAAAAACACAATAAATCAATAAAGTTTTATATGTTGGAAATATAGAAACTTTTATTTAGAAAAAATATCCGAGACCATAAAATTGTATCGTTAATTACCTCAATCATTTTCAACTTCATTGAACTCAAACATAGTCTCAAATCACATAAAGACTCAATTTGTGTTTGTAATTTGAATTCTATGTAAATTTTGTGCGGAAAATAATACTTATTAATCAATTAGATCATTTGATTGAAGTCAAAATTGAACGCCAATAACGACGTGAGAGAAGATTTTCTATTTAATTACACTAATCTTCATTTCCCTCGTCAATAAGGGAGAAAATTTCTATTAAAGAAACTTAGCTTCAAAATTTTCGTTTCTCATTCACTTCAACACTTAACTATTAACTCCAATATTTCTAAATAACTATCTTTACAAGAGATACCTGGTGAAAATTTCTGGCTTTGTCTCATAATTCAAACGATCCTATTAAAATTTAAGTTTTATGTTGTGATAATATAAACAATTATTTGTTTCAGTCACATAAGTAAAAAGTTAATAAGCATATTTTAAGGATACACATTATTATATTAATTAGTAATATAATAAATATAACCAAATAAAACATATTTTTAAACTACATAACACTATTAATATGATAGTGACTATGACACAAATTCTATCAAATGTTCTTTTGACAATTCTCAATTGAAGAACTTTGACATTTTCCTTTCTTCAAGTCAAATTTCAAAAGTCAGCCAGAGTAGAATCGTGAAAAGTCAAATATAGGATAACTGTGTCAAACACAAATAGTTTTATGAACAAATATAAGGATTTAATTTATATTGGGAAAATTGTATAACATAGTAAATTATTAATTCAAATTAAATACTATAGCCATAGTTTCTTTTATTTGTAATTCACAGCAAACATTTCATGTTTTTTGTCATCCCATTTGTATACCGAAATATACAAATGCAGAATCCATTTATATACCAAAATATACAAATGCAGGTCCCATTTGTATACCAAAATATACAAATGCAGGACCCATTTGTATACCGAAATATACAAATAGACCAAAATATACAAATGCAGGACCCATTTGTATACCGAAATATACTAATAGATCCAAATACATATCTTTTATGTATATGTATACCGAAATATACATATTAATAGCTATAGCATACAAATATGATTTTTATGTTTGCTAAACCTAAAATTTACTCATTTATATTTATATTTATATATAGATGCTGTAAATAATTTTGTACAGTTGCTTTTTGATAAATCAGTTATAACATAGTAATTTTGTTTGAATTTATTTTTTATACCATGTAACTGAATTTTTTCACTATTAATGCAGTATATTTTAAACAAGTAGCAATTTTATATATGGTTATTAATCTCATTTTTATGATTAATTAGTTACCGGTACAAATTAACAAAGAGTTTTAATGCCTTTACCGATATTGGTTAATTGTCATTAGATCCAATGTCACTATAGACTTTAGAGACATTTACAAAGAGTACTGCTAATTGTTGCGAAAAATATATATATTTAACGGCAATTAAGTTATTAATGTTATTAATTAATTATCGCTAAAGATTATTTTGATATAGTATACCAACGTACATACTTATTCCTGTATATAGTACGATGACGATATTAATGAGTAATTAACTTAACTTAGACCTTTTCTGCTTAATGTTTTTTAGAAACTATGCTAGTACGTAATAAAAGCGCAAACATTATTTATAGTGGAGGGGACCTCTTTAAAAAAAAACAACTATTAAAGATTATTGTTATTTAATTAGTACGTGATGGCTTTAATTAATGGACGTTTTCTGTTTGTTTTTTCAAACATATATTCCTTTTCAGTTGTCTTTTAAAAAAAATCAACTTTAGGGATTTATTAATAATCAGATTAATTGTATTTGTTTTCATGAGCAGCCCTTCGATTCTCCTGTATCTTTTGACAATATTCTATATCTACATGTTAATTAGTACTCCATTATAAAGTGATTAGCTAATTAATATAATTATAGAATCTAATAGAGCACTTAGGTATAGAGATGCATGAATCATGGCTATGATGTCGATATATTATATAGCGATTACGATCAAGAAGTTGTCATGGTGATTAGGTATGTATTTAATTTGATAAGTATATATAGTTAGAGACTTTTAAGGGTTAATTTAATATATTGGGGTGAGAAATTCAGTGGCAGAGCTAGGAGTTTGGCAAAGGAAGTTTAAATTTTCTTCAAAATTGCGTTAATTAAATATATACACTCATATTAACTAACATTTAATCTATGTACATTATATAATTTTCTGGCGAATGATATGCACCAGATCACCCTTCGCCTCCGCCCTTTGTGAGAATAGAAAGCAGTGTTAGAATACATAGGTAGATCCCCATATAAGATTCTTAAAGTTAATATATAGGAATATTAGATTTGGTTGGTATACAAGTGGCTTTGTTAATTTAACATGTGTTGGTTGTACTTAAGTGAAAAGAATGAGATCATGCGCACCAAGTAAGCATAATGTATTCATAGAATGAGAAGCTAGGTGGTGCATCCATTTGCACATGGGGAAACTAACACCGGACGGGACTGGACGAGATGAGATGAGACGGGAGAAAGTTGAAGCAAGATGGCGGTGGGCCAGGATGAACCGAGTCAGAATGAATCAGGACGAACTGATAATCCCATTCCACTATAAAACAGGATGGAACGGGATGGGTGGGATGAGATAATTGGGATCGTGGCTTCTTATTTATTTATTTTTTAAAATCACCTATAATAAACTTATTTTGATTTGTTAAAATAAAATAATAAAGTTAAAAATTAATAATTACTAAAACACGACTAAACTCAAAATTAAATTCCCGAAAGCACACACATTGATAGACACGTGTGTGCTTATTCCTTTACCTTATTTTGTATGTCATCAATTATATTTTTAACAGATAATCTACCTTAATTTGGATGTCATAAATTATATTTTTAGAAATATTACGTATAATTATCTTTTAATTAATGATTTAAATATAAAATCATTTTACCCAACATGAGCATATAAAAGTAAACTAAAAAGTGAGACACATACTAATGAAGAAACCTAATTCAGTCGCAATTTTCCCCAAAAGCTAATTAATGACTACGTCAAAATCATTTGAATTTTTCGAGTCAATAGACATTTGACTTTTTCTCTTTCTCAAAATAACCTATTCAAAGTCAAAACCAACAGAACAGTACCGTTGAAAGTCAAGATTACATTTCCTTCTTGTTGTTTTTTCAGTATTGGAATCAAGTGACTCCCTCCGTTTAATTTACGTGATATTATTTGATTTTATAATTAAGTTATTTCTGATTATAGAAAGATAACATATTTTTTGCAATAAACTTATAAGAAAAAAAATGTTTATATTAAAAGGAAAGCATAGATTGCCCATTAATTTAACAGGTGAATAAAGTACAACTGTGTGTCTTTCTTTATTAGACATGCATATGCAAAAGAAGTAAAATAACTCAAAATAGGCATAGCTACTTATTATACTGATCATGAGATTTGTCAGATTCGAAGCCAAGAAGCTCCTCCAATAACTTATCATCCAAGTACTCAAGTTCAATAACTTCTTTGATCACTTCATTCCCATTGTGAACTGATGAACACGACGTTGATGAAGATGACATTGAATATGATGAAGAAGACGAAGAATGATGATCAGATGGATACTCATGAGGAAAATTAAGTACTGCAAAACGACCTCTCATTTCAAATGCAGCTTTATCATAAGCTCTAGCAGCTTCTTCCGCAGTAACATAAGTTCCTAGCCATACCCTCGCTCCATTCTTATTAGTATCTCTTATCTCCGCCGCGTATTTTCCCCATGGCCTCTTTCTTACTCCTCTATATTTTACTTCTACGCATGATTCTTTGTTCTTAATATTTGAATTATCTTCATTCATATTGTTTTTATTGAATGTTTGTGGTTTGAATATATGTTACGATTAATAATGTGCTGTGCTATTTATACTAGAGGGAACGTACGGGAAAAAAACATTTAAGAATATATAGTACTATTAGAATCTTTAATGGGAGTATGTTTCTTTTTTCAGATGGCTAGGAAAAAGTCAAACTTAGGTTTACTATTTATTTAAAACACAACTATGATTTACTATTCAATATTAAAATATTATCTACAATAATTAATCGATTAATTAGAATCTATAGATGTTAATTAATTAATAGGTTGCTAGATACCAAGATGGTCCCTAGAGGTGATGTCCATAAGCATGACGTTCTTGATGAAGTGGTCACGTTAAATACGTATTGAGTTAATAGGGATTAATTGATTTTAATATTATTATATATACATATATATTGGAGAAAATAAAAGTATAATTACGATATATATATATATATATATATATATATATATAAAGGTACAGATAGATAAATCCCCTAAATGATTCTTTAAAAAATGAATTTTAGCGACCATTAATTAATAGTAATAGTTTCTGCTGAATATGTATTTTTAGATGCCGTTAACACTTTTTGTAAATGTGACAATATTGATCTAATGATAATTAACTAATGTCGGTAAAAAATTTAACACTCTTTATTAATGTGTAAATCATAGTCTCAAATATGTTATTTGATTACATTAATGATGATGTAAGTCATAGTCTAAAATATGTTATTTGGTTACATTAATGATGATGTAAGGCACAGTATGTATACATAGAATGAGGAAGTCATAGATGTTACGTTAAGCTTAGATATCAATTGACTCAATATACTACTCAATGATTAAATTATTATGGTAAGGTCTTACTCACAATATTAACATTATGATCAAGCAGTTGCAAGAAGGCTTATCCGATCAGAATTAACATTATGATCCGGCAATTAACATTATTAAAGCTTATATCGACATTATATATTAGATCCAATGTCAATTAACTAATGTTGTCTAGTGTCAATGTCTTATGTGGTTCCTTTCCGGCCATAAAGTCATTTATGAACTCCTCATATTTGAAGGGGCGATAGAGTGCAGGACTGTCACCATTGACAAGAGCCTTTGCTGGTTCCACTACACAATCTCCAGCAGGAGAAACAAAGGTCCCTAGTGTTATTCGACCACTTTCTGAATTTGTAACTGCACGGTGTTCACAAGCTACTAGCTTATTGTTGCTGATAATCTGCATTTAAATTCATATCACAAATATACATTGATAATAGTATTAATTAGAAATTTAACTTGTGATGCACGAGTTAAAGTACCTGCATCTGGTAACCAATGATGACAACGAATGCATAGGGAAGTGGATGAACACCAATCCAGTGACCATCTTTGAAAATTTGAAGTCCATAAACTTGCTGTTGAAGGAAGGTAATGATGTTGGGATCGCAATGAGGAGGCGAACCCATGGCTGAACTTGGGTCTGGACAAGTTGGGTAATAGTTCGCCCCCAGGGCTTGGCTTTGATCAATTCCTCCCCTAATTCTACTCCCAGTCCTTCACCTAGCAGCTCCACTATCATCGTGCATGACTTCCTCACTTCAGTTGAATATGCTTCAACCAGTTCCCTATACATCGAACATGATCAACAAGGATTCATAAAACCGACCCCTAACTAGTTGCTTGGGACAATGGAAAAAAAGTACTTTTGTCTCATTTTTGTACCTTATGACATGACATGTAGATTACTACAAAGACACCAGGAGTGAAAAATGTTTATTTTTTTCACCTTAAACTCTGTATACAGTCAAATTCAAATACGAGACATGTTCATTATAATAACGTACCTATATCTAGCTGGATTTTCGAGCCAATGTTGTGTGTCTTCTTGAATGGGAAACACAGGTTGTATGAGAAGATCTCTCCAGTAACGAATCTCTCCATTGATATATCGATTTCCAAACACTTTACAACTCTTATTTGAATCCTCAGAGAATAACTTATCCTTCATCTCGACAGACATGTCGAATAACTCCTTGAATAAATCCATCACATCATCCATCAGTTTCTCAGATACTCCATGGTTTATGATCTATAAATTCATAATTAAAGCCAGAATTAATCTTCATTAGTACTCATTCATTTAATATATAAAGGAAAAAAGCGAATTAATTAGTAATAGAAACTTTACTAACCTGAAATAAACCAAATTCTTGACTAGCTTTTAGTATTTCTTGGACTAATTCAGCATGATTAACTGTGTTTGATGATGCTTTTGCTAGATCAATTACTGGAATATTGTTACCAATTGAGACATGTTCATTAGGCCTTTTATCAGGTGGCATTACATAATTTTCAGGCAGGGTGACAATGTTTTTAGCCCAACTTGATACAAAGTTTGACATTTTTACTCTGTAAGGAGGATGTTGTTATTGTACTTGGCAAACACTCTATATATAGGGGTATTGGTAGCTGGTTAGAAGGTAAGTTATTTTTGGATAAAAATAACATATTATTTGGTTTGTAATTTAGAAATTTGCATAACTAATATATATGTATAAGTTATGACGGAATATGTGTATTATTTTACGTAGGATCGATAGAAGATGAAATAACAATGTATACATGAATAACTAATACGCGAATAACTAGGTCATGCATGAAATAATATATAGATTTCCTCATAACTAATCCATGTGTTACCAATATCTACATAACTCTCACCAGCTAAACAACCCCTAAACAATGAGGAATTGATTTTTTTTCAAATGATCACTTAATTAATTAATAGTTATTAGTTATATCAGAAAATCACTTTTTTTTATACACTTCACATATAGCAAAAATAAAAATCATATTTGGATGTTATAACTATAGTTTGCATAATTGCTCTCCATAGCAAATTTTATGTTTGCTATAGAGCTTTTGATTTGTATAATTCGCTAGATACATCCAATTTTATACAAAATTGTTCAGTTTTGTATAAAACTCATTTATACATTGTAATTTGTATAATAATATATGTATTTGTATAATTATAAGTGTATAGGACGAAAATATATATATTTGTATAATTATAAGTGTATAGGACGAAAATATATGTATTTGTATTTGTATATACACTTTTCTCTCACTTTATACAAACACAAATGCATTTTATACATTTGTATACCGAATGGATAATTGCATACCGAAAATGACTAATTGTATACCGAATCAGATGGCAAAATAATGGATGTTTGCCGCGAATTACAAATAAAATAAATTATGGCTATAGCATTTAATTTGAATTAATAATTTGCTATCTCATACAATTTTCCTAAAATTTAAATCAATAAAAAATATGACTTTATAAATAGAATATATTTTACTTGAGTTATCGACGTGTTCGCGCTTTGCGACTACATTTCCCATTTGAAAATTACCCTTTTCTCATTTATGTGGTATTATCTTTCCAATTTTTAAAGTCAAATTTGTTAATTTTGATCCTGGTTTTGAACATAAAATTTTTAACTTTTGAAAATATAAAATTACATATCTGAAAATTACATAAAACATATTATAAATCATAAGAGTAATAATTAATGATTTGATCAACATGGATTGTGGTACAGTGATATTCGAGCCCTAGATTAAAAAAAAACTTGTTTGGAAGCGCAACCTCATATAACCTATAAGTCCTGCAGTGCATCCGGTGAGAAACAATAAAAAATCAATAATTTAAAATACATATAAGAATATTACAATAAAAAGAAACGTTTCATACTCAAAATCCTACCACATAAATTAAAAAGGGCAAAAAGTGGCAAATTACATATAAGATGCAAGACCAACTCTATCTAACTATTTCTGAACAAGAAATTAAAGTAGGAAAAATATAAATATAACGTAATTTCTTCAAAAACTAAGAAAAAAAAAAAGAAGCAAAAAGTGGCAAATTTACCTATATAAAGGAGCAAGACCAACTCAATCTATATTCTAGTTATTTCTGAACAAAAAATTCAAGAGAGAAAAATACAAATATAACGTAATTTCTTCTCTTGGTTAAGTACCGCAGTTACAAGTCCCTTTCCTATATTCTTTTAAGGTATTTCTTTTTCGAAGGAATGAAGATAATGGCAGAATAAAAGGTATTTCTTTTAAAGGTATTCCAGAAAGTCCTTTCAATTTAATTTGCAGCTTGAATTGTTACATAATAAATAAATGGATTTTACTTATATTCAACGGAAGTTTAAATTTTTCATACAACCAATTTAATTTATCGGATACTATATATAAAAGGTTACTTGTCTTACCTTCCAGATAATTGATTCCATTTGTTCTGAGTTGTAACGATCCATTCCAGTCATTATGAGTAGGCAAATAGTGAAAGAATTTGGTCCAGAAATTGTTTCGTATAGTGACTCAAATTGTTTTGCCTAGGTGAGTCTCAGATGGAATTTGAACTAGGTGCGGTTTTGGGCTATCCGGGAATGGGTGGGGTATAATGTAGAAGCTTGGTTGATATATTCTTGTACATATAGTCAAGACATTAAGAAATCTGTAGGGCTTCACGAAATCGAATTCGAGCTAGTAAAACTTTCGAAGTCGAATTCAGTGTGAAAATGATAGTTCAAAACATCAAGGAAAAAAAGTATGTTATGAAAAAAATGAGATTTTCATAAACATCTGAGACTCTGAAGTTCGCATATTCCGCTATACCGAACCTCAGACCGCTACATAAGAGTTTGCAGACCATTATAGTAAGGTAAGCCCGCTATAGTAGGCTGGGTTGCTATAACGGCAGAGGCGAAACGAGATTTAATTTTATGCAAATTAGCTCCAAACCCTCTTATTTTATTTTATTTTATTTACCAAACCCTCTTATTTTCTGCACTTTTGTTCTTGTACTTAGGAGGGGTGATTTAGGGTTGTTTGCACTCAATTTCCAATTGTATTTATTGGTAAATATAAGATTATTACTCCCCAACCTTGTACATTGATTCTTGAACCTTAGAATTTATGATATTCCTCTTTGGGGGGGGGGGGGGGGGTGTGGATTTGACATGATTTCATGGTCGAAAAAATCCTAAGTTGGGAAGGATGATCATGAATTGGCTTAGAATTTGATTATAATTCGGATATAATTAGGCATTTGTGATTGTTTGTTGCTTGTATATACTGTTTTTTTTACAAATAAAGATATTATATTAATAGCTAATACCCTTCATTACAGAATAGTGGTTGTGAGGCCTGAAGTTGGGGGTACTGGAGACTAGAAGTAGAACTATTACAATATTTCGTAGTAGGCATTGAACTGATAAGACGAACAAAAAGAATTCCCACTTTATCTGCTTTCACTAGCTTTGAAACAAACAATGACTGGTCTTCTAAATATTTCCAAATAGTTGCTTGTATATACTTATTGTGTTAGACCAAGAACTAGTCAAGACACTTCGAAAAGAAAAAACTCGAGTTCTTTAGAGTTTCCAAGAAGCTTGATTCGATGTAAGTTATGGTTGTATTTTTTTTTTTTATGTATATATGCATGTCTACTACTTATAGTATCATTGTACAATACATGTTAGGGAAAACATAGAGAGACATATGAAATGACATTATGTTGATAATCTCATGCATGAGCTGGTTATGTGACTTGTGCTTTAATTTCAAGTGTAATTGTTCATGTTTTTGATCGTGTATGATTGTCTGTGTTTGTTGGTTAGTTCGGGTACCACATCTTGTACAGGATATTTCCACGGTTGACTCAAATACCACGCTCTGTATGTACTAACAATTGACTCGAATATCACGCCTAGTACGAAATATACATAAATGATTGACTAGAATATCATGTCGCTTCACTAACTATGGATGGATCAGGTACCACAACGGTACACTAACAATTTGACTTTGGGTTTTATGAGAGTACTGGGTATGTGTTTATGGTTTCATGAGAAAACTGACATAGCATTTGTAATCATGTGGTACATGTATCCAGGTATTTTTTATTTCATTATATGTGACTGGGAGTCGGTATTAATAATTGTTTATGTATTGTTCCAAGTTATTGTACTATGGTAAGTTGTTTACATTCATATCTTGGACTGTTCATGTGATCCTATCAATATATTGTGGTTTGTGTACCGACTCGACACATGTTCTTTCCTTATTAAGTCCAAGACATCTTCATGCGGCTGATCCAAGACCTTATAAGTTAAGGGACGTCTAATTTTAAATCCAAAAGTGAGTTGTTCTTCCATGCTGCCGTGCATTCCTTTGTTCTTTTTGTCCATCTTTCTGGGCTAAGACATTCTCCATTTTGTTTAGTGCTTTAAGCTTCGGGGTTGCATCCCCTTTACTTTAGGCATTAAAGTTTTGATACCACTCTTTCAGTTCTTAGGGGTTTATTTTCAAATAATTATTTTTGATTATTGAATTGAGCTTATGAGGACTTAATTCTTTAATTTAAATTGTATGACTATTGATTGGGTTTATGGAAACTCAATATTTAGCTATTTAAAAATTGTTTTCTTGCTATTTATTTATGATGAATTGCTTTAAATAAATGATATTTTGGATTAGTTAACATTTCTCCCGTCATGTAGTTTAGTGTGGATGTCACTCACGACAATTTATATTGTAACATGAGTAGTTACCTCAAACTATCCTTTTAATTGATCTGATGATATAAATATTTTATATTGCAAGTGTACATATGCTAAGATAGATAACATGAATCGTAACTTATTAAAATATACCTATAGTGTAAAATTATTGGCATGATCAGTAAATACGAGTTAGATCTATCAAATTACGGAATTACAATGTGTTAAACTCCTTAATTAAAAATATTTGTTGTCCAAAACTTGGCTTAAAAACGATGCTAATTGAAAGTGTCAACTTTTCAAAGTGTGTTGTTTAGCGCAAATTAAGGTACGATGTCTGTGTATGCTTCAATTTTAATCATTTTATCGTTATTTTTTATTTTATTTGTCATACTCATTAAAGGTCTATATCTCCTTTAATCCTACAAATCTAGCCCATCTTATCATCATCATCATTTATTTTTCATTTTTTATTGTTTAGTCAATTTTTCCTTTTAATTTTACCATTCAATTATTTTTTTTGAATCTTGTATCTATTTAGATCTTTGTTTATCCAGGGTTCTGGACGTGATGTGGGGAGTTGAAGAATAAAAAAAAGTCTCACATCGAGTATTGATGATATATATATATATGGTAGTTTTATAAGGGTTGAACAATTCTCTCCCTTTTGAACTAACTTTTAAAATATGAGCTAGATGCAACTTCTAAATTTACACACTTTTTATAGGAAAATCGAAGTTAAACCATCGGAATTTAATTTAATTTTGGGTCACAAAATTGGCAAATCAGTTGAAACCATTGATAATGTTGACCATAGT